GAGTGTGTAGAGACGACAGATGGTTGTTGGTGACAAAAAGTTTGGTGTGGTATCGTATGTACTAGTAGGGGGGTCTGGGTGTATTCTCCCCCAGAAAATTTTTGGTATTTTTCCACCCCTAGAATTGAAATGTGACCATTTTCTGAAACAGATTTTTGGATATACAGCGTTACATTGTGCGTTGATAGACCGAATCTGATCAGTTAAGTGTACTTGCATGGTATGTTTATGTAAATACCACAACTGGGTCATTCAGGGGGATAAAAAAAGCTTGTTAAACTTAGTGGGCCCAACTCCCACGATCGCGAGGCGCTACCATGGTTGGCGCTGAGCAGTAATTTTGAAAATTTTGAGTCTCTAGATCGTTGGAAATAGCATTTTCAGAGTCTTCTTTTTTGCTATTTGTGATTATAGAAATCAGAACTCTAGACATGGTATTTAAGTTCAAAAATCTTTATGACCCCCCCCCCCTTTTCTCTGTGTTAAAACTTTTTTTGACCCACCCACCTATTTATAAGGGTAAAACTTCGTTTGCCTCCCCTCCCATTTCCCAACCCCCCTCCCCATAAATAATGACCACTCCCTAAATATGACTGAGTGTTACTCGGTGCTCACAATCTTATTTATTTTCTAAATCTTTCCCTGTCAATTTTATTAGTCCAGGTTCGTTGTTTATTATTTCTTTTGCATTTAATCCATTATTAATAAGAATGAACGGAGGTTCAGGCTCTACGCTGACTGGAACTTCATTACGCACTCGGTTTTTGTACCAGCCAATTTCGTGTTCAAACACTCGTGTTACGTTGTTGATCATGCACGCCTTTATCACGAACGCCTTTTCGCCAATTCAGTATATTTGTGCAATCATCGTGATCAGTTTATCAAAAAAAAACAAAGGAGAAGGAAATAGCGTAGTAGATTTTAGGAGGTATTGTTGTGCAACAGCATTAATGGCGTGACGTTTGCAATCTAATTATAATAACTTGCGCATACGACGCGCGCATACCAAGAGAAAGGGAGTTTTTGTCTTATCTATGTAGCATTAACAGCTTTAAATTTCCACAATACACTGTCCATTCTCACTCAAGTAAATTTAAATATGCTATCCAACAGCATTAAGACGCAAATCGGAACAAGACCAACAGATTACCTGACTCAGACTGAGTAGTTTTCTCTTTATCAAAACATCACTTCTCTCCAAAATGTCCAGAAACGTAGCCATGCAGGATTTTTGGTCAGGGGGCAGCAAAAACGTAGGTGGGCTATGTTTCACTTCTTTTTATAGAATAAATTTTCTCAGGGGGCACCAAAATTTTACCAGGGGGGGGTGGGGTCCCCCGAGCCCCAACATGGCTACGCTAAAGGCGTACATGAACAACGAAATACGAGTGTTTGAGGATTGGTTGGTACAAAAACAGAGTCGTAATGAGGTTCCAGTCAGCGTAACTCAGAATTGGTACGTTGGCCCTTGAGGCAAAGAGTTAACCTCCGTTCTTTGGCTTAATAATGGATTAGACGCAAAGCCAATAAACAACCATTACCCGGACTAATAAAATTAATTGACGGGAAAAGATTTAGAGAATAAATAAGATTGTGAATACCGAGTAATACTTAGTTTATGGTATATAGTCATTTCTTTGTTTAGCACCACTTCTTCCTCACCCCCAGCCCTCTCCTGTAAGCAATTAATGTATAAAATCGTGGAGTGAAATTGTATTTGAAACTTGAAAGATAATTATGATATTTTACGGAAAATCACAGTACTCGATGTTGCATATTTAAAGAGAATAAAACGTGCAAACAGATTCTTTGTGTATATTAGAAATACCTCTCTCCCCCCCCCCCAAAAAAAAGATAAATTACGGTATGAGTTCTAGAACGTTTACAGGACCGTACGCAGAATGTTTTCATCAGCTGGGGGCAGTAAGGCCTATATGCCGAAAAACGTCACAAATATCCAATGAATAATTAATAATGATATTGCCTCCCCTGCTGTGTACGGCCCTGAATGTTTAGGATTGTGATAATATTTAAAGCCTGAAAAACAAATTTGTTTGCAAACGTTATGCAATTGCTGTAGTATAAAATAACATCATGTTTTAATTAATATTTTAAATAAGTTATTATTGTAATGTTGGCTTGGAAGTGTTCCTGGCGAGGGCTCGATACGGTACATTGCTCAGAATGTTTGGTAAACTCCATTAAAATGCACAGAACATAAAAATATCATATATTTTTAAAATATTCCGATGTCATCTTGTTTTACTTCAGCCCTGTTTTCGCACATTTCATAATTTTTCTTGTCCAGTCCTAGATTGAGATCAGTTTTTCTTATCTGCGCGTGCGCATTACGTGTTTTGTGCTCAAGCGCATGCGTATTTGCAACACAACAATGGCGGTTCATGGATTCCGAAACACGAGGAAGCGTGAACTTTGAAGAGCTTATACTTCAATTTGTGCAACTATTTCGCTTGGGGGGAAGTGGATTCTAACTAAGTAAGTTATAATCTATAGATTCATGTAAAAATTATGTAGTTACACGAGGGGTGCTACAGAATTGAACATTTTCGACCCTCATCCAACGGCCTATTAATTTATTTACTTATTTATTTCTATATTAGAAATCGTACATCAATATCACGCAGGTAGTTAATGAAGGATCACTGACAACGACAATGAAGCCAAGAAGTCTTTCTGGTGAAGATGGGTCAGAGTAAATGCATGAACCATAGTTATGTTAGTTCGCCTTTTTCACACTTCTAAATATTCTCGGCAGTCAAGTGACACTATAAGTAATTAATATCCCTCGAAGACAATAAGCAAGTTTGAAAATTTACGGCGTTTTAGCTATAGACACACGGATTGCTGTATATTGATATAAGAAATACATATATACGTGTTACACTTATAAAGAAATCGAGGTTGATTTTGTAAATGGTGCAGTTTCTTTTGTTTTACCTGCGTCATATATACTCTATACCTTTTGTATGTTAATATATTAACTCTTCACTTAAACTTTTTTGGGACATATTTGTTGGATTTCTATTAATTTAGTTTAATTTTAAGCATTTTTCATGCAACTCAGGTATATATATGTTTTGAGCTTAATTAAATAAAAATCGATAACATTAATTTATTTTGGTGTTATATAAAACAAAAACTGAATTATGGGTGGTTTTCCCTGATTAAATGTTCGAATTCATATATATTGACATTGCGTTTTGCCGATTACGGACTTGAGATTGTTCATGCCGAGACGGTTTAAGGTTACAGGATACACTTTTTGGCGTTTTGCGGAAAATCGCTACTGCGCGCTCAATATCAGTCCGATTTTCATCACATTTTCACCAAATGTTCTCCAGTGCATGCAAAATATGGTAAAGTTGTAAAATTAACAAACAATAGAATAATGTAAGAATTATTCAGGAAAATCTTAAATCGCGGTACCTTTACGCTTTTGAGTTGTGCTCCTGCTGGTTTTAAGTTATATTTATGAAAATATCATTTTTATACAGTAAAATAGTTGTTCTAAAAAATTGTGTTCGGAAATTTTTGTTTATTTCGTCATTCCGCTGATATGGCGATTTCTTTGACGACTGCAATATATTTCTGAATTGTTTGAGTGAAGTGCTCTTTATTTTTAAAATTTCCAAAATTAAAAAAAAGCCGAACACAGTTTTGAAACTGACGTCTTTAGCTATGTCCTGTGAAAATTTGAGAAAAATTGGTTAAAACCCGCAGGAGCACAACTCGTTTGAAAATCAGTAATTACCGTAAAATTTTTCGGGAGAAAATTGAATTTGAATATTACATTTTCAATGTTTTTCTTATTGCAGTGAAATGTATTTTACTAAATAACTCTGCGAGTTTTCAACATTTTTTTCAAACTTGGTCAGATAGTAGAACTAGTCTAATGCTTTCATTGAAACCAATAAAAATATTTTGGCAAAATTAACACTCAAAGGTGTTCTGTAACCTTAAGCAAGTACAGCTGTATATCATCGCCTAGATCAAATTACAGCATGCAAACCAATCGAGTTGAATCAAAGCACAATCAAATTAAATTAAGTAATAAGGTACATGTATATGAATAAAGGAAGTATGGTATCTAAGACAGTTCGATGTCGGACAGGTTCGTTCATGTTGTCTGTTTCCTTCAGGTACGTTGAAAGAATCTGCAAAAACTTTCCTAAATTCGGCCGTCAAAGCTACAATCCTGCACAAAACCATCTGCGACACTCTAAAAGAACCCATTTCTTTGTGGCTGTTTTTGCTAATTAGATCGGAATAATTTACCCGTCCTCCCCCCGCCCCCCCGCCCCCCCTCCTCCCCTCAAAACAATGTGTCCAACACAGTTTTAATAGTATTCTACGAACGCAATCAACATTGAATGGTGGGCTAAGGGGGAGGTTTTCTAAATTTACGATAATATTACGAAATTTTGTCAAATAGTTGGTAGTGTCGCAGAATGTTTTGTCCAGCATTGCAGGTAGAACAAGAACCGTTTTTGTTGAAACAACTTTCGCAGCAGGAACTTTGCGCGCGGCGCCATCAGTTGAGTGGATAAGTTGTAAAAGTATTTGTTTTGGGAGTTGTAAGAGTTGAAGTTGTCTTAATATTTGGATCCACCATGCACGGTTTTAGTGCTAATGAGGAAGTAAGAGAGATATATACGTAATACTGTACAGCGTTGGGTCGTACTGTACGAAGGGTGGATAGCGCGCTATCCCCCGGTAGCGATTTTTTCAGCTTTGTTGAATTTGTTTGCTGAATTATTAAAACTCCAGGGCATTTACAATGAAATTATATTTATAGTGAAAATCATTTGATACTAAAGCCTAGTTTCCATTTGGTTGTTAGTTGTCGTTGGCACGACAAACGGTAGATGTGAAATAGTCTAATATAATAATAGTCTTTTTGTGTGATATGCAAGTCAGTTTTAATGATTGCAGAGTTTTTTGTTGACACTCTATTACATCAGCCACTTGTCGTGCCAGCGACAACTAACGACCAAATAGAAACTAGGCTTTACAAATTTAAGTTTCTTAATTTAAACTAAAGAAATCAACACGAGTTATGATTGAAATAATACTAGATTGTAGTTATTTAAAAAAACTTACTTCAATGAGTTGAATTCCTTGATCGTCGCTTATTTATTCTCTCGACGTTCTGTATAAAACGGCTTTTAACGAAGTACATGTGATCGCCGACAAGTAAGGAACGCGGGCGCGAAAAGCGATTTTAACTACAAGACATTCTAGTTGTACAAGGGAAGGTTTAATTAAAAGCGACAAACAAGCAAGAAGCAAAAGCATTTAACGGTACTTCTTCAACTGCATGTGTACTTCGACAGCCTTCGATATTTTGGGTGATTTGAATCAGTTAACCTTCTCGTCGAATTTCCCCCTGAAGTTGCAGACAAAACAAATAATTACGAGTTAAATCAATCAAAGCTGGGGTGTTTCTTGGAGAAATATTAAGAAAATGAAGGGAATAAGCAAGAACGAAGCGCTACGGGAGGCGAATAATTCAATAAATTTTTAGGACGCGTTTCAAACAACACGTCAACAGCTATAACTCAACAAAAACAACTTACAAACGTCTACAAAATAGCTAATTTCGATACTAACCTGTTTCTCTGCATGGCATAAGCATTTCATTTCGAAAAGTTCCATTAAAGCGAAGTTCTGGACCAACTTTTATTTGTACTTTGTTAATCTTCGAGTTAAAATGACACTCGAAGCGCCGAGCAGAAATTTTCAAATTTACCAACATTTGCATAACCACACCTTTGCTTCCTATTGATCAGATTTTCCCGAGCTCTGATTGGTTTAGCTTGCGGAAGATTAAATTTGTGATGATTTGCTACAGCTAAGAGCATCTATTGCTCTAAACTCTCTTGGGAATTGAATACAGTCGCTAGGAATGATTAATTAGCTGGTTTCAAACTACAGTGTGTATAAAAAAACTGAACCCTTCCAAATTCAAATTAGGGACCGGTCATTATTTATGGTGGGGGGTGGCACCGAAGAGAAAAGGGTTGGGTAAACTAAATTTTGAGTAAGTAAAAGGTTGGGTAAATGAAAAACAAAACAACTCAAGGGTTGGGTAATAAAAAATTATTGTCGGCATTTCCAAAGCATGACTCACTGAAGTATTGGGGACTAAAAAGCAATGGCGACAGTAGGCCCTACTCTGTGGCGATAACGAGATAATGCGAGTTTACGCAATTTTAGGTTATTTAAGCAAAATCTGCAATTTAGGCAATGCGAGTTAGAGCGGTATAGGGCAATGTAAGAAAACAATTCAGTAAAATTTTAGGGAATGCTGTTTTAGGTGTTTAGAGGTAATTTCAGGAATATACAACTATATCCCTGATGACTCCAATGAAATTACCATTAACCTATGCCAAGCATCCAAACATGAGTGTTCCCACAAACACACACACATGCAGTGTATGAAGCAAAATATATAATTTAACAAAAAAAGTTGAAGTCTGCTTGAGGGGGTTCTGGAAACAAACAATACACTGTATGCGCATGACGATCAAGTGTTTAAAGGGTAAATAAGCTCAATATTCATGACTTTTTTCATCCATTGCCTATTTCGAAGCCATTGGGGTATTATTAAATTCATGACACAACTATAATACATGACCACATGTTCACATCATATGCAATTGCAAACAATTTTCAAAGGAGTAGGGTACAGAATTGCAATATAACAACATATAAGTAAATTATACATATCATGAACTTACCAGTTTGTGTTGAGTTAAATTTAAAAATTTTTATGACATCAAATATTATTTATTTATTTGCAAATCAAAACATTTTAAAATTCTCGTGTTTTGTTTTGTATTGCGCCCGCGATATATTAATGGTATTAACTGCTGTGAATATGATATACATTTTTAATACATTACATTTGCGCTCAAAAGTTCAGGAAGTGAGTTTCTAGAAAGGATGAAAAATCCGTTTTATATATGGTATGTAAAAGGTAATCGTTGTTTACTGTTTACTGTTTATTTTGTATTCAGGTATGGGGAATTTAAGCGATGAGAGTTGCAAAACTTGCAAATGTAGTCTGACTAGTTTCCCTGACGTCATCATGCAACTATTTAATATTGTGCTACATTCATTATTCAATTTATTCGCAGCAATTAGCCTTCTATAAGCAATACAAATGATTATAGCTTATAGCCCACCTTGCCTTTAACATTGATCTTATATATAATGAATTAACATAACTAACTTGATTATGTTGCTAGTCGAGTATGGGACCTATGGGTCTTCTAGATCCTAGAGTGGCACAATTAATATAAAGTCTCCGTAAGGCGGTTATATTAAAGAATGTTCTTATTTATGCATGACCTTTGACTATTAAGTGGCCAAAAATTGTGCCTACAGTAGTCAACTTATTCCACTATCAAGGTTGCATCACTTTTGATTGCAAAACATCCGGGTTTATTATACATGGATTTGCTAGCGAAATAGCAGCAATTGATGAACTTGGTGTTATACTAAGATTTACTAAATGTGTGAAGAAACAACGAAAAGTATATATCAACTAGAGTCACTATCTTGATCAATTTCCGATGGGATCTCCAAAGAAAGTAGCTACATGTGCAGACAACATGAAACTTCAGACTGCAGAAAATTTCACAATCCGTTATCAAACTTATGTCACAGAAGTGGTAAAGGACATATGTGACAACTGAATGGTACCTTTTGTAAATTTTTTGGCCAGGGGTGGGTATTTATTTTTGAATTGATATTTGAGGTTGGGTAATCAAGTTTTTTTACTTTTTAATGGTTGGGTCAGCAAAATTTTTGCTACGAAAAACATTCTCTTCGGTGCCACCCCCCGCCATAAATAATGACCGGTCCCTTAGCTATAACATATTGTAGTAATTTGACAGCTCTAATTGCTTTGAATTAATGGTTGGGTAAGAACACAAGGTCTTGTACTCATGGGACGAAACTCAAAGAAATAAAAATTAGAAAATTTAAAAGTTTTTAAGAGTTTTGTCCCATGAGTACAAGACCTTGTGTTCTTACCCAACCATTAATTCAAAGCAATGAGAGCTGTCAAATTACTACAATACGTTATAGCTAATTTGAATTTGAAAGGGTTCAGTTTTTTTTATACACCCTGTATAAATTCATGGTCAATTAAAATTAGTTGTTTCGTATTGAAGCTAAAGCCGGTTTCTCACTAGGCGCAATGTGCACGCGAAGCGGAAAATCTTGTAATTTTTTGGGGTGGAACTAATTAGAAAAGACAAAGAAAAATTTTGCTCAGCGCGCAAAATTGAGCCCAGTGAAAAACTGGCTTAAAGAACTTTAAATCAAAGCTCACAATATGCAATATAACATACCTACAGTATATATTTCGGAAATTTATTGTTGCGTAGTTAGTAAAAGACCAAGATGAATTCGAAGCGGGGTGAATAGAGAGTTTACGATCTACGACGTGGCAAACTTAACGCCGCGTCTCAATTTCAGCTACACAATGAGCGCTTCTTTGATTACTGTGATAAATACTTGAAGCTTTTTAAAATAACCTTACAAACAGCTATTAGTTCATGAGAAACGATGTGGTGTAACTGGTGTTTGCTAACATCTAACGTCGCAATAAGCTTTCACGTTGCCGCAAAGACGTGGTAATAGAGAGAGTAGAGACCCGCTTCAGTGGTTTGGGACGCCAACATGACGACGACGGCTATTCATAAATTATATTCATAATATTTAAGAAAAAAAATGAATAATTAATATCTCACGGGAGTTTGCCGGAGACTTCATCCACGGTCTGTTTACAACGGGAAACTACAGACTCTTACGTTTTGGATAAAACACCTGCAAATTTCAAGACGCGAGAAGTGATACTCAGCAAATTAGTTCAGTATTACAGTAGAACTTTCTCAACAATAAAGCTACTATTTCAAGCTAACCAAACAGTATTAAGTCCATTGTCGTCTGTTATGGCTAATTTGTTCATGGAGATATTTGAAAAGAAGGCCTTAGCTACTGCAACGTTGAAACCTGGTTTCTGGTTCAGATACGTGGATGATACTTTGAGTAGCTGCATGGTCTCATGGACTAGATTGAATTTACAAAAGTTTCTAGACCACATTAATAGTTTGCATCCATCCATCTATCAAGTTTACATTTGATGTAATGAATGACGCGAGCCAACAGATCACGACACTTTTGTATATAAAAAGGGCGTGTGAATTAAACTAGTCACATCTTATTAGCACTGATGAAGATCCGGGCTTACGGATCGAAAGCTTTGCAGTAATAAATTTACGTGGTGTTTCCACAAACAAAACTATTATATATTTAGAAATTATTTTTTCATTAAGTCAGTTCAACTATGGAACACTCTACCGTCTCATGTCAATCCTCCAATTCTTTAAAGGTGATCTACAGTCCGATCTGCGCATGTGCACAAAGGAGCCCACTTTTATGATACAGACAGTTAACTATGTTTTGGGTTCTTGCAAAGCCTGATTGTTGTTTCTTGATCATTTATTATACTCTAGAAGCTTGAAAATATAAATAGTTGTCGAATAAAGCTCAATATTTTGGACGCAAAAATGTAAACAAAGGCTTGTAGACGGACTGTAGATCACCTTTAAGACTTTAGTCTTTTCTTTTTTTTGTTGTATTCTACTATATGTTATCGCATTACGTACGTCCGGGATCTGCATGATCAGTGACCAGCGTCTACACATTGCGATTTGTTGAACCGTCATCCGGCCATTTTCATTATTTCATTATTTTTTAATTAAAAATATGCCGTCATTGACAAGCGATTTCGCGAGCTCATACGCTTATTTTACGTGACGAATAATGTCAATATTATTTCGCAGAATATTTGGTCCGGCTAAATGCTTCAAAATTGACATAATAAATTACAGTGCAATTGCACTAAAAATACGCAGAGAGCCAGCCAACTAAGTTTTTTTGCTCTTTGAAAGAAAATATTAAGGCTAAAGAAGTTTGGAAGACTTATGAATGGATTTGATTTGTGTTCGGGTAGTTCTTCTCGTTGTTATTGGCATATCAAGATGTAATACTCTGACAACCATAGTTAGCACGACAGGTGAGGATAAACAGGACGAAAAGCGCACCTATATATGCTATTAAAGTAGGATTAATGGTGCATTTTATTCGTGTTTAGTCGCATTTAAGGTGGCTCGCTGCAGTTTATAGAAATGTTGAAAATATATGCGTAAACTAGGTCACCTTTTTGAAAAGATGATGCTCTTTACAAATAGAAATTTGTATATTATACATACAGCGACAATCAAACAGTCGAAAATTGGTCAGAAAAGTTACGTCACCACTGTTGCTGACCAATTTTATCTGACCAATTTTAAAAAAATTCTGTAATGCAAAAAAAAATATTTTGAAAAACCATGTTTATAAATTTTTTAAAAATTTGGCGTTACAGAATTTTTTTTAAATTTGTCAGATAGTGTATTGTACTATAAGAAAATGTTTTCTGAAATAAAAAATGGTGGTAACCGACCTTTTTTTAAAGTAAAATACGTTCAAAGCCAAAATATCGGCCATCTTGAATCGTTATTGTTGCCATAGCAACAGTGGTGACGTCACTTTTCTGACCAATTTTCGACTGTTTGATTGTCGCTGTATATATAATAAAAAAATTCCGATTTGTAAAGAGCATCATCTCTTCAAAAAGGTGATCTAGTTTACGCATTTTCAACATTTCTA